CTTCAAAACAAAGGACAACACTCTTTTGAAATCAGTGACAAATGGAGAACACAGAAGAATAATTACCATATCATTTCCCCAGTGATGCAATCTCTTGAGCCTATAGGCTTCTCCTTTTGCATTTAAGTATAAACTCTTGGGGCCTAATTCTCATTTACATTAAGACCCCTTCACAATGTAAAAGGCCTCGGTTTAAAAGAATTAGATCCTTGTGATTTTTTTTTTTAAGCGAGAAAATGATGATGTATGTAATATCCCTGATCTGCCCACCCAACTTTCAAGAATTAGGGAAGGTTTCATAAGTGTAGCTGAGGCTAGGAAGTTGCCCATTACATTTAAAAGTTTTAGATGTTAAAAACTACAATTTGATATAACTAAAGCACTCTTTGTACATATTGTTATAATTACAAAAGAGGAACAATGCATCAGTTCTTGCACCGCACACTTTTGCTGTATACTCTTCTACTCTTGCCCTCACTAACACATTGTTTGATGTTGTGTACCTACCATATCCTGTGCCTTTCCTTTGATCTTTATTTATTTTGGCATTCTCCCTTGCCATTATACAGCATCCTCATAGTTCCTCCTTCTCACCTGTTTCATTCCATACTCTTGCTGTGCTGCAATATTTGTCTTTTCACTCCAACACTTCAGTATATAGCAGGAACATTGTATTAGTAAAGACACTGCTTCCCATTCCAGCCTTTGCAGACGTGCATAGCAATAGGCTAACTCGAAGGCATCACCATTCTTATGTTCATGATCTCTGACACTGTTGTCTTCAAATAATCTTTAATTTACGAGTACTGAATACACCATTGGCAGCTGCCTCTGGATGTCATTGTGATTGCTGCCATCTCCATGCACCAGGAAGCTGAACTTCTTGATTTTTCTTAACATCTTCATTTCCAATTTTCCTGCTTGTTGGGATGGGCTGCAATGTTTCCATTGCCATCTTCTCTTTTGTATTCCAGTGTAATACAAATTTCACAAAGTGTAGGCAGCTGGTTTTATTAGTCACTGAATATCTCCTGCATTACTATGGGAGCACAAGCATAATAAATCTTGTCACCACAGGTTATCCCATCTAGACATCACTTCCAGTGGAGATAGTGATTTTCATTTAGGTCAGAAATGATGTGCTAACCAAAAACAACATAATGCACTTCACCAATGGAACCCATAAGTCAATTCATCCTATTTGCTCACAAATAAGTAAAAATGGAAGCATAATATAAACTCTGCTTCCATCAGTATGAATGTCACAATCATCAGCACCAGAAGCAATAAGTAGTGTCATTCTCCTTAGTTCCATGTCAAACCAACCTGTGATGATTTTGATTGTTATGGCTTTTGGATATAGAGACTTTACAGTAGTTCACTAAATACAGGGAAAAAATCATTTGTGATTTGTTTGAATCAAAAGATATTTTGTCTGTGTCAAAAGGTTCCCTGTTGTGTCTAAAACACATCCCAAGTCTCTGCCTTACAATATTAAAACACAGTAAATATATGATCTAGTGTTCATTTGTAGGCAGTCTATTTTTCTTGGCATCACTTCAACTCTGATCTTTATCTTTTCTAGGATGAATAGAAACAGTACAGGGTTTTTTTTATTATTTTTTGTTTTTGTCTGCATGAGAAATGAATTCTGTAATTCACACTATATTCAGAGCTACATATTTTGATAGGTGAAGAGTGTCTTTCACTAATTACCGAGATATTGCTACATCTTCCATGTAACCTCACAAATCACGCATAAAAGGTTGATGCATGAATAAGTTTGTTTTAATGATTCCAGCAAGCATGCCATCTGTGACCCTAGGCACCCCTGTATTCACATCCTACACACTGCTACAATATTTGTACAAAATATACCTTGTGAGATATCATCTGAAAGCATTGTAAAATGCATGTGTTAACACTGTATGTGAAGTTATGAAGTCCCTGTGATTGATGTTCCTAGGACATGTTTAAGACCAGAAAGCCTAGCATAGGTAAACTCGATAAACAGCTTTGTCCTAGACAAAGGAATGTAGGTTCACCCCAATTTACATATTAGCAGTAAATAAAGCCATTCAGCTGAATCAATGAGGATTATCCTGATCCTGAACTAGAGAGACAGAGAATTAACATGGCTCCCGCAGCCCAGAAAGACACAGGAGACTGAATCCCCAGGAGACCTTCCAGACTTGTAAGACAAAGTCAATCCCTTTGGGGATATAAGGTACACAGAGAGAGAGAGAGAGAGACTTCCTTGATCTGTCACTTTAGGAGACAAAGAAACCAAGCAATTTTATGTCTGAATTGGGTCCTGGCCAGTAAAAAGCTAAAAGAAAAACTGTGGGTAAAAGAATCCATCTTGAACAAAGATTGTATCTTGCTAGATTAAGTTTTAGACTTTTAAATGTGTGTTTTAACTTTTATATTCTTGTAACCATGTCTACCTTTATCACTGTTACTTCGTATCACTTAATCCTTCTCTTTTTAAAAGTACATACTTTTACTTTAAACCAATTCAGTGCTGTGTTTGAAGGGAAAGGCATAGTCACCCCAGTTAAATTAATAAATTATGATGTACTGATTCTTTAACAGAGCAGCAAACTTAGTATCTTCTTTGAATGCACAGTGGTAGGGGCTGTGCCGAGAAATATCTCTGAGGAGCTTGGGGGCTGGAGTGCTCTGATTGTTACCTGCTAGGCAAGGTTTGGGCCGGCAGTTGGAGTTTTCTGGTGAGGAAGACAGACTGGTGTGGTAGGGAGTTGACACACTGTCTAATTGCCAGCAAAACTCACTCTTGTTGAGGCAGAGAGGTAACAGTGGCTCACAACCCTGGGTATTCCCAGCATGATGTTACACAATCTTAGCCAGAAGTTTTGTTCTGCTTTCATTTTATTCACTACCTTAGTCCTTAGAGGTGTTAGTTCCTTTTCAGTTGTGGCTGGGACTTCTTCCCAGCTGATTAAATCAGTCATCTTTTCCATCTTAGTGTAGAAGTTATCTGTGTATTCTCTCCATTGTTGAGTCTCTTGTATATTTCTACATGCTGTAATACTTCAATAGAGCACAACAGTTTCCATTTTTGACACATTTTCATCCTAGTGATTGTCTTTCACTTTATTCTCTCCTACTCTTTATTTGGCTTCCTCCTCAGCTCACACAACCCCAATGTATCTAATGGTTTGCCAAAGTTGTTCTCTGTACCAATTTTCAGCGTTGTTCAGTTTATTCCACAGTGGCTAAAAATATTGTTTTCTGAACTTAGGGTAAAGCTTGAAAGAATTAAATGGTGATATGGGCACTTTGGAGAGTTTTGCAGTAATTGGAAAACATTGGTTTTTCCTCTTTTCTGTATGATATAATAATTTTGATTCCCATCGAACTGATGTACAGGGCTCAAGTGCATTCTCCTACACTGTAATATTGATATAAAGTGTTTGTAAGAATCATTTGATTCTCAGACCAAAATCAATGAATAAGAGACTGTTTGTTTCTTCTATTCCATGTCTCCACATCATATTCTTATCCACAACCTTTTTCTTCACTTTCACACTGAAACCTTCTGCAATCAACACCATATCATGTTTTGGCACAGTATCAGTGAGCTCTTGCAGATGGATGTCAAATTCGTCAATTTTATTAGCGTTGACTACTGGAGTTAGTTCACATACTTGAATGATAGATGTTCTGAAGTCCCCAAGCAGATTGAAATAAGCCTTGGATTCTATCTCAGCAGGGATACAAACTCATCCTTATTCAGAATAAATGTTCCCCTTTCTATCCCAAGTACACCACTAATTCTCATTTGGGGCAGAAGTTACAGCTGCCAGTCAGCTGAACTTCAGAAAGATCTGCAGTGTCAATCTTTGCCCAGTGTCTCTCCCAGAGCTGAAATTAGAGTTATGCTTGGGGTTGACATTAACAGATAAGAGACTCCCTGAAGAATCTGGTTATACTAGTCTATGTGGTAGGGAGTTGACACACAGTCAACAGATATAGTCTGCTATATCAGATTTCTACTCTTGTCTTATTGGCTAGGTGTTGGCATTACAGCACATCTCCTAATGATAATCTTGGTCTGGGACATTCTTGGATGAAGGTGAGGGTTACACAATGCAATAAAGTAGGACTCCTAATACATATTTAGTGGTTTTCATCCCTAAATCTCAAGTGCTTTAACAAAGTATAATACATATTATCAGCCTTATTTTACAGAAGTGGCAATGTGGTGTCAAAAGGCAAAGTGACTTGTATAAGGTCACGTAGCAGAACTGGATATAAAACTCTGGTCTGGTTTCTCACAGTCCTATCTCCACTTAACTATACCATTTCCTGTGAATACTCAGTGAATGAAGCAACAAATAAGGGGCATGTTAGGCTTAGTTCTTTGACACATAACAAAACAGTATTATCGATAAAGTTTGTAATGATATATTTGGCTAGAAGTTCCCCTCCTCAGATTGTTGTTACAGTGTACTGTGGACCAGAAAGCTGCCACCCTACATCCCAGAAGTGATTGAATTTCTGTGGTCTTTTATTATTATACTGTCATTTATGAAGTGTTTTGAGATCCTTCAAGATGTCAGATGCTGTCAGTTTTTCAAAAGAGCTCCGCAACTGTTTAGGCATCAAAATAAGGGTCAGACTTTCAAAAATGTCAAGCGACCAAAAGTATTGTTTGTGATACTTACAGTCAGGAGTGAAATCTTGGCTCTCTTGAAGTCAGTGGAAGTTTCTTCCATTAACTTCAGTGGTGCCAGAACTTCACCCTTGATTTTTTCAAAGAACCAAGCACCCAATGTGATCAATGTTTTTGAAGGTTTGGCTAATTATGTTGGTGTCTAAATGGGAGCAGAGTTCTTTTGGAAATCTGTACCCTATATAGATATAAAGTATTAAATGGATACAATTATTTATAGAAATACTATGTTAACTAGCTTTTTCTACTTTGTCATAAACGTATTCATGTTAATATTGTATTTTAATATTTTATGTTTCAGAAATCAAAAATCTCCACTTATGACAAGATGTGGGCCTTTATGAGTAGCAGGAGGCAGTCGGTGCTTGTCAAAAGTAATGAAGAAGGCATCCAGCGTGTACTCACCTCTGATTATGCCTTTCTAATGGAATCCACAACCATTGAGTTTGTCACACAGCGGAACTGTAACCTAACACAGATTGGAGGCCTGATAGACTCAAAAGGTTATGGCGTTGGAACTCCCATGGGTAGGTTATATGTCAACCATTTGTTCTGTGCTCATTAATCTTAGCTGCAGTGATAGCACAAAAAAGCTCCAGCATACAATATTGTTGCTCTCTGTAAACTACAAGCAGTTTTTCTCCCCCTGCCCCCAACTAAGTAAACATACCATATTATATTAACACAATTTATGGATCTAGTTTAACTTAGAAAAGGATGTCTTGGTTACCCTAAAAAAATGATAGGAAGTTTGCATGTATAATGCCTGTGCTCTAGAAGGGGTATGCAAATTCAACTAAAGGAAATACTTATCTTGACAAGAACTTGATCTCTTGAAGTATTTTTTGTATTTATGGTATAGCATAAATTATGTAGTTGTAGTGCAGTGACTGCACAGGCAGATGTGGTGGGCATTCATAGTTCTGCTATATAGAAAAGTATAAGTATCGAGTCCCCTAAGATTATTGGGGAAACAGTCATAATAGTATGTTATACATAACCTCTGGACAAAAAACAACAAACTAAAACTTTCTGTATCTGAATTATGGAGCTGTGATTGGAATTCATAACCCTGCAATCAGTTCCTGAGTAGAGTCCCATTGAGTTGATATAAGGACCTGATTTCAGGACTGGGGGCTTAGATCACAATTTAGTAAGTACCTAAGCATGTGCTTAAATCCCATTGAGCTATGTTGATGTACATGAGCTGAAGATCTAGCCCTTAGATTTTAGAGAAGACATCTTTTTAAATGGACTAAGGAATTAGTGCTACACAGAGGCAAAGGGTGTGTTAGAAGCATGGAATGATCTGCTTGAAAGAACAGTATTTTGTCCTACTTTTAGTTTATTTTTATATCAAGATTTTCATCATTTTGACATTGGAATGAGCATGTCCTATGTTTTTTTTCTCTAACATGACCTACAAATATCATTTATTTTACCTGTATTTAAAGCCTACTGTAAATCACCTTCTGGGGGAAATTGTCTACAATACTTTAAGTCAAGAAACACTAGCATAAGGAAGGTTAAGAAGAGAAAGTTATTGGAAGGTCTTGCAAAGAAAAACTAGCTAATATTACCAGGCAGCTTCACCTATGGAGGCTTTTTTTTATATAATTTTAATATAACTGCTCAGACATATTAATAGCATTATAGTTTCAGTGATTGCAATAAGTGAATATGATTGCAGTGGTACCCTGTGTGAAAATCATAGTTCTGTATATTCCAACCTGGTTCTGACTCTGGGCTCCTGTTCCTTGCTACTGATTCCTGCTCTAACCACTAGACCCAACTCCTTCCCCATTCACTAGGCACAGCCATCCATGTCCCAGTCTCTGACTGTCTGAGCAGAACCAAACCCCATAAACAATAAGGGAAGTACAGTATACAGTGAGCAATGATCTTCTAAAGGTCAATATCTCTCTGCTGGAGATAGTGGGAGCCCTATGGATCTGCATGCCCAGATTGCTGCCCTACAGGCATAGAAGGCGGTCCTGCAAGCTCAAGCCTCACTGACTTCAGCTCTTATCCCCACTCCCACTATAAAGTTCAGTGGCGATCACAACAAGTTTCATGGCTTCCTAAATCAAGGTCAGCTCCTATTTCTGCTACGTCCTCAGTTGCATCCTACTGACCACCTCCAATTGGGACTAAATATCAGCCTGCTTAGCAGGAAGGGCCTGGCTTGGGCATCTTCACTTCTGGAAAAATCAAGCCAACTTCTGGGACAATCTGAGGACTTTGTCTGAGCTATGGTGGTGATTTTCAATGATCTTCAATCTTCAGTTGCAAATATACAATTGGAGAACTCTCATAATGAGCAGGCATTTAGGCAACTGGACATTTCATTGGAGTCCAGATGTTTTTCTCATGTTGCAGTAGGAACACCAGCCAGTTACTAAATATGCAGCAGAGTTCCAATTTGTGGTACGAGACACCTAGTAGAACAGGCCACCCAGTATTATCATTTCTGGCTCAGCCTCAACAATGATATTAAAGATGAACTGGCCTGGGTGTAATTCAGCCTGAATGCTGTAGTTGACTCATGCAGCAAGATGGATGACTTCCTGACCAAATCCCACCAAGAAAAAGAATTGTTCTCCTGGACCTTGCTGGCTCTGCTGACACCACACCCATTATCAGTCACTTCTCTGTCACCCAAACTAATGGAAGTTGATCTGGTCCAGCCCTGCGTCTCTAATGGGCATCTCTAATCTGCAGCCTGTGCCTATATTGTGGGGAAACAGGACATTTTGCATCAAGTTGCCCTGCCAAGGTCTGATCTGTGCCCTGGTCAAGAAATCCCAAGCCCCAACCCCAAAAGGGGGGTCTAGGCTAGACTGGAACCCTTCCTTCTCCCCACAAGTTTGCACCAATATTTGTTCATCAGTACCCTGGGGATGGCCAATCAGCATCCAACACCTCTCCAACTCTGGCACTCTGCCATGCCCTACACCAACCTAGAGATTTGGGTGTACTCAAGTGTATCAGGCAATTTCATGGATCTGGAGTTTGACAGAGCACACCATAACTCCACCAAGCGAAAGGATTTCCACCCCGCTCCCATGAGTTAGTGGAGTCCATAGGCAGGTCACTTCTTTCATTGGTACCAGTCACCCACCAGACGGCTCCTTTACAGGAAACTACACTTTGAGGCCACCGATAAATCTTTGGGCTAACTTGTGCACTGCATTCCTCAGTTGTCCTTGGCATCTCCTGGCTTGTCGCCCATAACTCGCTCATGCACTTGCAGTCAGGCATGGTAAGTTTTGACTCCCATTTTACTTAAAATCTTGTTTCCAGAGAGTCAACCCAGGACCAGCAAACTTTTATGGCTTATTCAGTCAGCCAAAGAATTCAGAGACACAGAGAGAGAATCCAAAATGGGAAATGACTGCCTAGGAAGGAGTCCTGAAGAAAGGGGTCAGAGTGGATCACAAGCTAAATCTGAGTCAACAGGCTAACACTGTCACAAAAAAAGCAAACATTATTCTGAAATGTATTAGCAGGAATGTTGTAAGCAAGACACAAGAAGTAATTCTTCTGCTCTACTCTGCAGTGATACAGCCTTAACTGGAATATTGTGTCCAGTTCTGGATACCACATTTCAGGAAAGATGTGTACAAATTGGAGAAAGTCCAGAGAAGAGAAAAAAATGATTACAGGTTTAGAAAACATGGCCTACAAGGGAAAATTGAAAAAAAAAATTGGCTTTGTTTAGTCTAGAGAAGAGAAGATTGAGGGGGGACATAACACTTTTCAAGTACATAAAAGGTTGTTACAGGGAGGAGGGTGAAAAATTGTTCTTGTTAATGTCTGAGGCTATGACAAGAAGCAATGGGCTTAAATTGCAGCAAGGGTAGTTTAGGTTGGACATTAGGAAAAAACTTCCTAACTGTCAGGGTGGTTAAGCGCTGGAATACATTGCCTAAGGAGGTTATGGAATTGGCGATTTTTAAGAACAGGTTAGATAAACACCTATCAGGAATGGTCTAGATAATTCTTAGTCCTGCCTCTTGAGGTCCCTTCCAATACTATGATTTTATGATCTAATTCTATGAAAACCAGAAGAAAAGGTTCATTTGCCCCTCCATATCCCCAGCGGGGGCTTTGATTTTCTTAGTGGCAAGGAAAGATTACTGAGCTTTTAACCAGCACCCTTTACTCTGCTCTGCCAAGGTCTTCACAAAATTGGACCTCCACAGAGATTATAATCTGGTGAGGAGCAAGAAAGAAGATGAATGGAAAATCACTATCTATACCAGATATGGCCATTTCAAGTATTTGATCATGCCATTTGGATTATGCAGTGCATGGCAACCTTCCAGCATTTCATAAATGACATCTTTAGGGACATGCTGGACCAATTTGTCATTTACCTGGATGACTTCTTCATTTTCTCTGAAAGTCAGGTCCTCCACAATTATCATGTGTGTACTGTCTTGGACAGATACTGCCAAAACTACCTCCACACGAAGTTCAAGAAATGTGACTTCAATGAGGACACAGTGGAATTCTTTGGGCTATATTGTCTCAGCTGAGGGACTTACCAGTGAGTGGTGATATCTGACTTTGCTGCATCCAAGGATGCACACTGGGTGCAGTAATTCCTGGTGTTTGCCAATTTATACAAGCAATTTATTAAAGGATTCTTTTGTCTGGTTGCACCCATAACAGCATTTCTACAAAATGGAGCACACTTCTCCTAATCTATGGAGGCTCAGTTGGCCTATGATTGACTGAAGAGGGCATTCACCCCAGCTCCCATTCTTATTCACTAAAACCGACTAAACCATTTACAATTGAGGCTGATACCTCAAATTTTGCCACCAGTGCAGTTTTGTCTCAACATGCGGGCCCCCACAACCAACTATACCTTTGTGCCTTTTCTTATTGGAAGCTAATCCCCGCTGGTAAAAATTACAAGGAGCTACTGCTATCAAGGTGACTTTCAGTGAGTGAGCACCACCTCCTAAGAGGAGCCTGGAACCTGGTCCAAGTTATGACAGACCACAAGAACCTGGAGTAGCTACAGACTGCTAGAGCCCTTAACCAATTCTAGATCCACCAGTCCCTCTTCTTTACTCACTTTGACTTTCTGGTAACCCACCAGTTCTCAAATTGTGGGTTGGGACCGTGTTTTAATTGGGTCACCTGGGCTGGCTTAGCTTGCCTGGGGCCTGGGGAAGACGCCAAAGCCCAAGGGCTTCACCTCTGAGTTGCGGGGCTCTGGTTACAGGTCCCTTGCCTGGGGCTGTAGCCGTTGGGCTTCAGCTTTGGCCCCCCCTCCCGGGACATCTGGGCTTGGGTGAGCTCAGGCTTAGGTCGCCCTTTCTTGGGTCATGTAGTAGTTTTTTTGTTAGAAAGAGGTTGTGGTGCAATGAAGTTTGAGAACCCCCAGTTACCTATCACCCAGGGATAAAAAATGGGAAGGCAGATACCCTAGGCCTCAAATTAAATTCCTCGAACATAGGGAAAAGCCATCTGCCACTATGCTTAAGGAGTACAACATTGTCAACAGGACAGT